ACCCGATGTGCCCCGTGAAGATCCGGGGTGGAACAGGTCTTTAACAACCCATGCTTGTCGTAAGAGGCGACTAACGATGTCGAGTCAGGCTCGCTGTCTTGGTTGATGCATGTTTTCGTATCCCAGTTGGGTGGATCGATGTTCATGATCTCAATCACTTGGTTTGTATGGTCATATAGGTGAGGTGAGGTGAAATGGGGTTTAACGTCGCGTCCAAGATTATTGCACTTATATAGCGACGTGCATGCACGTGTATGTGTGTGTGTGGCTGCTTGTACTAGTCCGGACTGATGCCGATTTATAGTGCTAGCACACTGAGATACCATGCCGCAGTTTAACATGAATACCCCACTCAGACACAGTATACTGACTCCGAGCCGACCAGTCCTTGTCTTAGCCCCTTAATGCCGAGCGCCAGACAACAAGTACCATCTTTTAACGTCTTTTTGTATGACGCGGCCGGGAGGACGCTCTAACATTAGACCACGGCGGCGGTCTATGGTCATATCGCTGGAATATTGCTTAGTTCAGCAATAAACAACAAATATACCAAACAAACAAAATGATAACCCGAAGTACATGTTTATTTCGCACTTGCATGTTCATTCCAAATCATTTAAATTAATTTAAATAGTTTTGCAAACCATTCGTTTTAAATGTATTATAAATAATTGTCACAATGTTATTCAAAAATCAACAGCTGTGAATTTGTTTTGTCAAACATTCCTATGACAGTCTGCTTGTCACCCTATCAATCTCGTTTAGTAACACTTGAGTAAGATGTCAGAACTCACTCGCATGCCTGTAGCCCTTGTGACATCTTTACCTTAGGAGCCGAGCTAGAGACCTGGCTTAGATATCAGGATGTGTTTGCTGAAGCTGAACAGTAGATAGCAAAAACAAAACAAATTGCTCGTTTTGATACTGTCTGTTTCAGATAAGACAAAGGTATCACATTCTTATTCGACCCGTGATGATCCGGGGTAGAATAGGTCTTCAGTAATCAATGCTTGCCGTAAAAGGCGACTATGCTTGTCGTAAGAGGCGACTAACGGGATCGGGTGGTCAGGCTCGCTGACTTGGTTGATGTATGTCATCGATCCCAATTGCGTGGATCGATCTTCATGATGTCAATCACTGGACTGCTGGTCCAGACTTGATTATTTACAGACCGCCGTCATATAGCTGGAATACTGCTGAGTGCGGCGTTAAACAACAAACAAACAAACAAAACATTCTTATTCGACATGCCAGACAGGAGATAGGCCATAAACAAGTTCATATGCATGTTTCGCAATATTTATTTGTTTGTTTGTTGTTTAACGCCGAACTGAGCAATATTCCAGCTATATGACGTTGGTCTGTATATAATAGAGTCTGGGCCCAACAAACCATTGACTGACATCATGAGCATCGGTCCACGCAATTGGGTCGCAATGTTTATAAGTTACAGCGGAGTTGACTCATTTGTCTATATGGTGTATTTGTGAAAGTGACGAGTCTCTAACATGTACCAGGTAGATATAGCCATGGATACGTTACTAAGGTACCGACCATTTGATAATCTTTGATAAATATGATGCTCGAAAAAAAAATTATTGGGTGTCTACCACCTACAGGGGAGCACCGACTGAAGACAAACTGTTCTGTCTGAGAGATTCTCTGTGCAGAGTTGCGTCCCTTGGGCACGCCAGAAACCTATGATTGTGGGTTTGAATCCCGGTTCGCCCCGATTATGTTTCCAGGTTTGTCAGCACCATACCCGTGCTCGTGGGTTTCACCGAAGTCGTAAACCTCTCAGACATGCATCACTTCGGGCTTTCCTCCCACATTAAGCTGACACGCTGCAATATAACTAGATTACTGTTAACTAGAATACAGCGTTAAACCCAACTCACTCACTAACTATTCTGTCTGAAACCGAAAAGAAACCAGCCCCACCTACCAAAACACCCTCATATACACAAACCCACAACCCCCGCTCCCGCCACCCCTACCAGCTTCACACTGAAGCTAACTTACAACACGTATTAATCACAATAACATCTGTTTAGATTTAGAGGTATTCAAAATACTTTTCTATTTTATTTGACACACTTCAAACCAGTCATACAATATCGTGATGTCAGTGAATCGTTTATGATACTTGAAATTGATTTACCAACAAGCCAATCAAGTGTTGACATCACCTCGTGGTGTGTATTGACGTTAGTCAGACGTTTACAAAGCGGCATTCCACAGTTGTTTCCAGTACATAGTTTAGTATGTGTTTGTTTGTCGGAAGAGCGGGGTACTATTGTGAAGCCTCTGTTGGTTATCGAATAACGCTATAATGAGGCGACAGTTGAATGCCCTATAGATGTTGGTAACGATGAGATTCTATCATCCAGAACAATAAAGATTGATCCACGGTATAACTACCGTTTTTATCAATCGGATTTGTGTAAGAGAATCTTGTTCGGGCGCTGTTTCACGAAATACAATATATTTTACTAAAATCAGACGATTATTTTTGAGGTTTTTTTACAACATATTTCAGAACATCCAGCATGTCCAGTGAACAAAATTATATGTTTTTCTAAACACTTTTTATTTCGTATGGTCGGTGCCATAGATGCGACTACCTTCATGGGATACCTTGTCGGTTATTACGAAATGCAGTGAACGCTCGTTATTTCGAACCCCTTTAACTTAGTATCGTTGTAACGGTGTAATATTAGTGTTCCAATAAGAATAACCGGCCCGATCCAGGGGCCCAATCCACTATTAAAGCGTTCGAAGAGCTACGACTGCCGTAACTCTACAGTGTTGCACAGACTGTAACGATGTTTACGCCACGAGCGCTATGGGGATCGGATCGGATCCCACTCCGCTCATCTCGAACTACGGAAGTCTCGATGTTTGTGTTAATGGTGCCTAGGATTTCGAGCTAATGAGGTTTTATTTAACTATTGTGTATATGAACTTCTGATGTAATCATAGTAACGATATATTAACATTTAGGCACGTTGAGATCGTCAAATCTTGAGTCCATAGATGTAGCCGAATGGCAATAGTAGTGGTTTATTTCAGTAAGTCAGGCCACAGGCCCATTATGCAATATATGTATTCAAACATTCAAACATGTTGCGCAACAAGTGCATGTAGTAATATCAATACTAATCAGTACAAGGGTACTCAAATCATTAACAATGATGTAGATAATGCTTTTAACTGTTTTCAGAACACTCTTGAAAATTGCTGTGTTAAATTTAGAAAACCGTGTAACGGAGCTAGAATTGGACAAAAACATTGTGACTGGTTCGATGAGGAATGTTTGCTGGCAAGATTGACAGCTCGTCAATTGCTGCGTGCATTTCATGCAAGCAACGAGGCATGCGACCGGCTGACCTACATTTCTGCACGTAAACACTACAAGGAACTCTGCTCGCGCAAGTCAGCTGTCTCGACACATGTGTTTGTAAACAAACTGGAACAATCACTCCAATCTAATAATGTGAAACTTTTTTGGTCGTTATTGAGACCAAAAACAAAATCACAATTAATAAACATTACACCACTTGTGTGGATTGAACATTTTAAAGAAATGTTTAGTGGAACAAACCATGATCCAAACTCACTTGATTTTTATGTTCATGTAAATGATTTCATTTCAGGTATAACTGACAATCTCATTGATGCAACTACTGATATTGATAATGAACTTGACTATGACATTACTATGTCTGATATACAGGATGCAATCTCCAGTATGCACTGGAAAAGCCGAATGGCAATATGAGAATCCCCAAGCGGGAAAAACAGTGTTTAGAGCTAAATTCAGATGTTAACCACAAATATTTTGCAGAAAAATGATATGTTTATATATCGATGTAGGCGTGACGTTAAACGTTACCCTTGGTAACCAATAGCTCTAATAGAATTGTCCATATTTTAACATACAATACCCCTCCGTGTGGATGCCGGGTTAGAACAGGCAGTTGCCTATATATTACGAAGGTACGCAAACGAAGTTATTGATGTACTGAAAATAATGACATCCCCAAATAACTTGTCATTTTCTAAGGACCCTACACATTTCTTTCCTGACCCTTCCTGAAAAGACAAAATGCAATACACTTTATATTTTATTTGTAAAGTGTCCATTTTTTCAAGACTCTCCTCAAATATGTGTATTATTGAGCTCGGAATACAGAATTATGTCACTAGAAGTTACGGTTTTCGGAGTTACAGCGTTTTAACATACCATGTTTCACCATCTTTATCGCACATCGCCATAATATACCCAATCCTGTCATTTGCCTGTCTGTGCGATCTGGTTTACAGTGTCTTTCGGCGAAGTTTCTTTTCTGAATATGTCTACATATGGCCTTTACACTAAGACGCTTATCACGAGTATCCTCTGTGGGTTAGAATGGGTCTTGGGCAACCCATGATTGCCGTAACAGGCGATTTACCTTGTAAGAGGCGACAAAGGGATCGGATGGTCAGACTCGCTGACTTTGTTGACGTATGTCATCGTATCTCAAATGCGAAGATCGATGCTCATGATGTCAACCACTTGATTGTCTGGTCCAGACTTGGTTATTTACAGACCGCCTTCATATATATGGTATATTGCTGAGTATGGTGTTAAGCAACAAACAAACACACAAACTGTGGGTCAGATCGTCGTGCAAGCGAACACCAATATATTCGATCATAAATATAAAAAAATATTAAGGCCTTTCATCGCCAAGTGTTTGGGTGAAACGTAACTCACTCGCTCAGTGGGGGCGGTCGGGTAGCCTAGTGGTTAAAGCGTTCGCTCGTCACGCCGAAGACCCGGGTTCGATTCCCGACATGGGTAAAATGTGTGAAACCCATTTCTAGTGTCCCCCGCCGTGATATTGCTGGAATAAACGCGGCGTAAAACCATACTCACTTACTCACTCACTCACTCACTCACTCACTCACTCACTCACTCACTCACTCACTCACTCACTCACTCACTGTTTCAGGATGGACGGGTTCCCCACGGCGTTCTACCTGGCGGGTCTGGAGGACGTCATCAACAACCCGTATGTGCTGTTTCGTCTGGTCACCCCCACGCCCCCCAACAGATTCCAGAAACGGGGAGGGGTGGAGTCTGCGGCGGGGCTTGTCAACGTCATCCCCCAGAGACGGTACGTCATTGTGTCACGGTGGTAACATTAATTGTAGCGTAAACTTTACGGAAAGAAGTTGTACTGCATCGCAGTCATACATTCTGGTTTAAAACCATATGTTTTTTTGTGAGTTCGTGGTCACCAGTCGACTAAGACTCCGCAATTCACTGTGAGTTGCCTACCTTAGCTGTGTCAGACGCATATGGTCGTGAATCGAATCCCGATTAGCCATCATTAAGTTTCTAGCTTTGTAGGCACCATACCCACATAGCTAACATAGCTAGCTGCAATGGGCATCTCCCTAATCCCTAATCAAGGCCCTAGCACACACCCATCCCCCATAACCAACCAACCCCCCCCCCCCCCCCCCCCCCCCCCCCCACACACACACACACACCCTCTTACGCAGGTTTAACAGTATGTCCTCCAACACTGACGGCAGCCATGTTAAATAAGATTTAACAAAGGTGTCACGTGCTGGGAATGAGCTTGATGGCGCGGATCATGCATTCAGTCAACGGTTATTTATAGGCCGATGTGATAGCGCTGAAATAACATTCACTCTCAGGACATAAACATGAGCATAAACTATCATGTTTCTGAAAACAGGTGCACCTCCAACAAAAGGAAAAAAAAGGTTGCTTTCACAACCTTGTATATTCGTTAACGGTTAAGTACAAACACGGTCATGCAACGCTCGTTGTCACGGCATTCATAGCCAGGCATTAAATATGAAAGCAAGCATTATACGATCTGACCACACTTCATTATCAAGTCATGTAATAACACGTTATGTAGTTCCACAGTACGTGCACTGATTTATCATGAATATATCATCTCGTGGTGAGACAGACTTGCCACTGTGCATTATCTGTGGGCAAAACTGTATACGCAAAACAGAACGTCTTATCCGTTTGTTGACACTGGCACTTTGGTTGAACAACCTGATCAATGAAATTTGCATTGTGCCACATATTTACCTTGTTTACAGTGTTAGAGAAGTAATACAGGCACAATCACTGTGGCTATACAGTAAACTACGGTTATAACGAACTCAAAGGGACTACTAATTTTAGTTCGTTATAACCGTAATTCGTTATAAGCATATATACAGCATAACTACAGCATATAGTCGGGACTAAAAAGTTAGTTCGTTATATCCGTTTGTTCGTTATAACCGTGCTCGTTATAACCGTAGTTTACTGTACTTACAGCCATATTGTGTTGACTCCACAGGGTGTACCGTATGGAGACCGTTGAGGAGATTGAGATATTCAAACGAGAGTTGATAAAGCGCCCCCTAGTGTTGCAGTGCATGTCGCACTCCGGCATGGGATGCGGCTCCACCTCGTTCGGGTGCGGCATCCTTCCCAACGACAGTAAGTGGTAGATGGAGAAAAGAAAGTTCAAAGCTTATGTTTGTTTGCAAGAATCGTCTTCGTAAGGAGGAAGGTGCAGTGAGTTTTTCATTGACCCTGCTTGTAATTTCGTATCCAGTCTAGGATGTCTCCATTCTGTCATCTACTGGTGAAGATTCCGGGGTAGAATAGGTCTCCAGCACAACCCATGCTTGCCGTAAAAGGCGACTATGCTTCTCGCAAGAGGCGACTAACGGGATCGGGTGGTCAGCCTCGCTGACTTGGTTGTTGCATGTCATCGTATCCCAAATGCGTAGATCGATGCTCATGATGTCAATCACAGCATTGTCTGGTGCAGATTCGATTATTTACAGACCGCCGTCATATTGCTGGAACAATGCTGAGTGCGGCGTTAAACAACAGTCACTCAGACATTGTGGTTATACTCGGTTTCTGAATCTACATCACTGACCGAGGTTACGTCTTAAACATCCTTTATTCTAAGAATGACATTATGTGATAAAGAGAATATTAGCCCAGTTTCCGCTTCGTCGATATATACACGGAATAAAAAATGATGCAGACAGTACCAAAATGCATTCGGCTAATAATGTCTATATGCAAAGTGTCAGATTGTGATTTCTATCATACATTCAATGTTATTAAAATATGTCATCGAATCGGGTGGTGAGACTTGCTGTCTTGGTTGATGCATGTCATCGATCCCAATTGCGTGGATCGATGCTCATGATATTAATCACTGGATTGTCTGGTCCAGAATCGATTATTTACAGACCGCCGTCATATAGCTGGAATATTGCTGAGTGCGGCGTTAAACAACAAACCAACCAATCATCGGGTTTCACATATAGTATGCTTTCCTACACATGTCCTAGTTCAGAAAAAAACAACTGTTTTTGTCTAGGAAACTGGGTGCTGTTAATCAACCAGACCTATCCCAAGATTCTCAGTCGTATCCAGATGGGATGCGATGCGGCAAAGAACGCTATGAACAAAGGCCACCCCTTCGTCCTCAGGGTAAGTAGTAAGCGGTTAAACATGACTTAACCTATTACGTATACGGACCGTCTCCGCGGTCTAGTGGTAGAGCGTCCGCCCGGAGAGCGGAAGGCCCGGGGTTCGATCCCCGACCGCGTCATACCAAAGGACTTTATAAGATGGTACTTGTTGTTACCCTGTCTGGCGCTCGGCATTAAGGGGCTAAATCAAGGACTGGTCGGCTCGGAGTCGGTATACTGTGTCTTAGTGGGGAATTCATGTCAAACTGCGGCATGGTATCTCAGTGAGCTAGCACTATAAATCGGCATCAGTCCGGGCTAGTACAAGCAGCCACACACACACACACACACACACACACACACACACACACACACGTACATGCACGTCGCTCTATAGGTGCAATAATCTTGGACGCGACGTTAAACCCCATTTCACCTATTTGAAGATGTCGACCGTGACGTGTTTCAGTTGTTCGTGACAAAAGAAAGAGCGCACATTAAGTAAAAAGAAAACACTTCTAACTTCGAGGGGTCACGCGTGGCCCAGACGTTTGAGATGCCGCAATTCGCTGTGCAGTGCCAGAAACCTATGATGTTTCTAGGTTTGTCAGCACCATACCCGTGCTCGTGGGTTTCACCGAAGTGGCAAGCGTCTCAGAACGGCATCAGTTCGGACGTTCTCTCACTTTAAGTTGACACAAGATATAACTAGAATACTGTTAAAACCCACCTCACTCACTCACCCAGAGCAGCATAGTTGACTACGTGGAAACGTGCATAATCGGGCAGTTCAGAATGGAAATAGAAAAGTACAAATACATATTTGGTGACTGCTTCAAGACATACAATTTCTTTCACTAAAAGAGGAACGAGACAACTTTTCGAAGAAATGTAGTGAACTTTATTCTATGTGCCTAAAAAACAAGCTATTTTTTTTCTAAAACAAAGTCATAAGTCATTTTTAATGTTTGATAATCAATCAACTATTTTGAATGGAGACGTCATTGTTGCAGTTCCGGTTCGGGACGTTGCTGCAGCGGCTGCACTCGGAGATATTCCCGGATGAGGAGATGCAGACACCCGCCCTCCATTACGCAGAGTGGGAGTTCGCGGAGGTCGTCATCAGATTCCCCGGTGGCAATCTCAGCTCTGACACAGAGAGCTCTCCCACAACTGTCATGGCCCCAGTGGTAAGTAGGGCTGATAAATCAGGACGGAATGATGAATAATCTTAACACGATAGGATGTTTCCCCATGTCCCCTAAACCACATCTTCCCGAGGCAAAAGAGTAAACTGGCTATAAAAGTCCAGTTTCCACCCTTGCCGAACTAGGCTGTTATTATAGAGTTAGATTTTGGCTGGACTAACGAGTCTATGCATAGTCCAATCAAAATCGGCACCGAAATCGGAATCCGGTTCATAAACTGTCGTGCAGATTCCGGTCGATTGGAGGATTTGCAAAGCATGTGCACCGCCAATTCGTTGACAGTAGATATTTTCCAAAATTGTTCATGTTCTTAATCAAGGTGTTCACGTGATTTGATGCATTTGCCGATTTAAGACCCGTTCTATCACAATATAGATCTTGATTATCGATCAGATCGTCTTGACTTGGCGCCGCCATTTTGTTTGGAGCAAATGCAAGTGATGTGAGAGGTGGAATCTGATTGGTCCATAGGAGAGGCTTAGAAGGGATATAACTGGTAATAGCCACTAGTAGTGCTACGATCGAGCCCAGAAATTCAAGCCTAGTCCGGTAAGGGTGGAAACTGGATTTTTAAATTCAGTTAACTCTCTTGCCTCGGGAAGATGCCTGTAACATTGTAACAGCTTGTGTTGATTGTTTTTATTGTTGCCACTTCAATATCTCAGCCACAATCGTCTCTTGACTGAGAAATAAATGAAACCATCATTTGAAAACAATGCTGTTGTTGTTGTTGTTGTTGTTGTTGTTGTTGTTGTTGTTGTTGTTCGATACTGTGATATTGGAATTGCTTTTCTTGTAAGTCTATCATTATGGCTATCATCACTGCAAAAAAAATCCATATATACAAGCTTGTATATCCTTTGGAAAGATGATATTTCCAAAGGATATACAAGATTGGAAAGATGATATATACAAAATATACAAGTTTGTATATATGACATATACAAAATATACAAATTTGTATATATGGTGTATCCAAATTTGTTTTGTTTGTATATATTGGTAAAGGGAGATAATTATTATGTATCTGTGTATAATTATGATATATGTGCAAATTGAAGTGTTTTAAGTTGAGCACTGTGTTTCTTTGTATATGTTGGTAAAGGAGGATAATTGCTATGTATTGCTCTATAAATGTTTTGTATGTGCAAAATAGTATCAGCAAGTTACAAAAAACTGATTTAGTGGCGGGTAACATTACTGGAAGGTTTAATTAGTACTCCACACTGTTAGCGGGAGTACATCCTGTCCTTGCAATGATATTGACGGGTGGGCGGTTGAGGCGTCTGGTACTTTTCCTGGCGCGGTGCTTGGTATGTGAGTAGACTTTATGGTCAAATGCACAGAGGGGATTAGCTGTTGGGGGCGATTGCTTTGGCGGTAACTTCTGTATTGAAAGTGTTTGAGCTTGGATTTGTTTTACGGGGAGGCCGCGATGTGTTTTGTAACATGCTCTCGTGCACATATGCCAACAGAGTGGATTGCACAGAGGATGAAAACTATTTTATCACTACTTAAAAGTGTTGAATTTGGTTTGTTCTGAGCTGTCGGATATACATTGTTATAATGTGAAATCTCGGCGGAAACGCGGAAAATCGCGTTTTGTAAAACGGTAGTCCTTGGGGAAAATTGTATTATGAGCAACCGGATGCGTAAATAACGTGTGTAATATATTCCCGTATTATATTTTATAATACTTGTTCTTTAAATATTGTTATCAATGCGAGAACGAAGATTACCTTGAAAAAACACAACAGCATGCATATGTTCTAGCAAAAAGAAACTTGATATATATTCATTTGGCTTAATTTCTACTTTGGAAAACTTAGTTGGCGCTCTAAAAGCTTGACGCTGTATAATTTGGCACGCGCATGGTTGGGTGCAAACCATATGTACATCAATAATAATAGTAAAAATAATAATAATAATAATAATAATAATAATACATCATGATGGCAGTTTCAATGTAAAGATTAAGTATTTTTAAAGATATGGAAAATAAATCTTGATAACTGCTTTAATCTTTGATCTTTGGGAAAATAATAATGGAATTGGTTGAGTGACTAACATATTCTACTTTAAAAGTGACAGGAACGTGATTTACATAATTAAAATATAGAATAATATACAAATTATAAGAGAGGGTTTGTGATTTATTTTGGGATGAAGTCAGTATTTAACTTGCGCTTTCCGACATTATGCGTATTTCGCACACGGTTAAGAAAAAAAATGCAATTCATTTATTTATAAAAAGTACGAATGCATCAATCCTACATCACAGGACCATGTACATAATTTGTTGAATGTTATTTCGTGAATACACAAATTGCATAACACATTCCCTGAGGACAAACCCAAATTGCCCGTCCCTTTGTGACAGGTGTTAATTAGAGAATGTATTGCCACCATATTATGTCCCGGCACTTTTATGACATGTAATGAACCTAGTCAATCCCTGGGTCTGTAACAACAACATGGGTCTAATAAAATCAAAGTAACATAAATGTTACGTCATTCGAATTAAAAAAGAGACTGAAAAAATGTAACATGAATATAATTGCCCTTTTGAGGGTAATATAATTTTGGGAAAATATATGTTTTCTTGTATTTATGGACGACTTCACACAAGCTGAAAAATTAAACATATGTTTATATAGCTATATTTACATACATGGCATTAACATGTAATAATAATATTGATCATGTTTGTTAATTTGTACATTTCGTTGTTATTGGTATCCTGAGTATGTTGTAATAATGCATGTGTTCTGATCTTATTTGACGTAGATTACATGAACTAGTAGAGTGACTTTCTTTCATCAGCGTGGAAGGATTACCCACACATATACCCTTAATCCTTTGTCAAACAGAAAGAAGTCATATAGATATCATATCTAACTGGTACTAAAAGTTCACTATCAATCTCCTCTGATAACAAACTTACATTTAATATCCCCAAGCTACAATACCAAGCATGCTCATGGAGTAATTATGAGAAACCCGAATGATATCCTGTCTACGTGGTCACACCCGGTGATTGTTAAGACATTCAGACAATATGGCAGTCTGTATTCATTTCTTATATCCCAAAAGTCCCCACCAAGCTTCCTTTTATTAACATTGGGATGAGGGGAGATATACATATTGTATTAAATAATACATCAATACATCAAAACAGAACAAAAAAGATAGGTCAACAGTGCGGTTGATGGAAAGGGGTTTCCTAAGAAAAGTTATTTAACTCTTTAATACTTAATATGTGTCTCAAAGTATGTATTAAGTCTTACTACTAGTTATTATATATGTGCAAATCCACCCGAACGTCGGATGTACATGGCCGATTTCAAAATAGCTAAATTAGGCACTGTTCAAATTGTTTCCAATAAACCACTGATTAGAAACTCACTTAACCTTTAGAATTGGTTTCTAAATATATTGTAGTTGGGGCATGTGTAAAAATTAATGCAGTGTACCATTGTGACAGCCACAAGAGCATGCATGATGTGTTATCTGAGATGTGTTTTTTAAGCCGATGGAAGTTTAAAGTGACAAAATCTGGTATCATGGCTTAACTGAATATAACATTGTCTAAGTTTAATAATCCTCTTTTTCCGGTGACTATTCCAATTATTAATGGTATCAGGTAGGAATGACTTGCATTCAGTTCTACAACGTATAGCCTGTGAATTGGTTAGATTTCTTTATATGTAATCACTAACAGCAAAGATGTTTTCCATCTTGTAAAAATGTGTAATGGCTACGTTGGTCTCACTCTACATTTTCACGTGGCTTGTACTTACTTACTTATATTAGGAGATTTTACGTGCGCTTTCCGACTGGAGCGTATTTCGCACACGGGCCCGGCCGGGCCATTTAGTGGTATAAAAGTGGTAGCGAGAGGAGTGCAACCAAGGAGGGGGGTTTAGTGGTTGCTCATATAAAGTTTTGAAATTTTGAGATTTGGAATACATGCCTTGGGGGAGTGGTTGGGACTAAGGGAGTGTGTGGGGGTGAGTTGATGTTTTTTGGATGTTTAGTGTTGGTGGTTTAGTGAAGTTTTAAATACGGTTAATTAGTTCTGTTTTGGTTAGGTAAATGCCTAGGGCTTTGAAGTTTTCTATTTTATTTTGGGGGTTAAGGATTGCTTCTAAGGTAAGAGCGTTATTTGGATTTAGGTTGGTTTGTAATGTTGTACGTTGTGTGAGGTAGTGGGTGCAATGTAGTAGTACGTGGTCTATTGTTTCTGGGTGAGTGCAGTGTGGGCACTTCCCGTTTGCGTGTTTTTTTAGTTTTAGAAGGTGGTTATTTAGTTTGGTGTGTCCTGTTTGGAGTTTGGTGATTATTCTATCGATTTTTTTGGAGGGATGGAGGATTTTTGGTTTGGTGAGGGGTTTTTTGAGGGTTTTTAGGATTTGGGTTTTTGTGTTTTGATAGAGGTTATGCCATTTTTGGGTGATTTTACGTTTGTTTATACTTTTGATTTCTGCTTTAGATATTGGTAGCTTAAGGCTTATGTCTGGTATTTTTAGGGATTGTTTTGCGGCTCTGTCTGCGTTTTCATTCCCGTAAATTCCTACGTGAGCTGGTATCCAGATAAGTTGTATGTTTTTGCCTGCCTCTGTTAGTTTGTTTACGCTTTTGAGAATTTGGTTTATTAATTTGGGGCGGTTTTTGGTGTTTTTGTTTTGGAGGGCCTGAAGTCCGCTTAGTGAGTCTGAGAGTATTAAGATTTTTTTTTGGTTTTTGGTGTGATGGCTGTGGAGCGCCGTGGCGATACCCATGAGCTCTGCGGTGAATATAGATTGGTTGTTTGGGAGTCGGAAGGATTGAGTATTTTTGACTGGTTGGGCTATATGGACTCCGAAACCTGTGTGATTTGTGATCGGATCAGCGGATCCGTCTGTGTATATGTGACACCAATTTGGCCATTTTTGATGGATGTAAGCTAGTGATGTGCTTTTAGCTAGGTTTGGGTCGGTTTG